AGCTGCAAAATGTATAATGTTGATCCCCAGCCAATCACCGTTTGCCTTCATTGATGAGATACGTCACATCATCAGAAAGGCACCGTTAGAGCCTATACCTCAAAGTAATAGGTTCAAATGTTGGTATATAGATTTTTTTTTAGTATTTGTTAATAGTTTGCTCCAGAATATACTCATTGTTTCTTTTATGCCAACAGACAATACTTTCAAAAACTCTGTTTCAGCCCTCTTATCTTATTTCTTCTCTCTGGTCTCACAGTTTGCGGAACATGGTATTTGTCAAACCTTTAAGTTCTTAAACTCTTAACAGGCTCATTCTTAATTCAGCAAATTAATCAAATTGCAGTCATGCTTTAGGTCTTTGCATTCACAGTTTCATGATGCAGCTGGTCCTGCTCCCACTCGGTGTGTTCCTGGAAAACTCTAAATGGAGTTCTCAATTTTGAAGTAACAAGAAAAAGGCAACGTTAGCCTTTTCCAATATGAACTAAACTGGTCCTGCATCGTAATGACACAACGCACTTGCTAAATTATGTCAGTTAATCAAATTTGACTGTTTCTCCACTGTTTATTTGTGTGTGTGTGTGTTTATAGTTGTTAGGAATGCTGGACATGTCCGTTCCAGTGGTGGCTAAGTTCCGGCGTCTGTTGGACAGTCTGCCCAGGGAAACTCTGCCTGATGTGGTCGCCTCCATGATCCGAACCTCAAACAAGGAGAAACTACAGGTGAGGTGACTGTGTGTGTCAGTGAAATTCAAAGTAGTGTATGTCGCTCAGCAGAGTTTGATTGTCTCGCTCTTAGAATTATAAAAGAAATTAACTTAATCCGCATCCACAACTGAGCCTTTCGTGGCTAATCGAGCTCTGGCAACGACAATAGTACAAAGTTGTGATTTAACAACATAAAGGAGTCGTGCTTTTTCTGCCTTCTGGTGCTGTGAAGGTCTTGGATGCGGTGAGCCTGGAGAACCGTTTTAAGACAGCCCTGTCCATGTTGACCAGACAGATAGAGGGACTGAATCTGCTGCAGAAAACCAGGAAGAAGAGTCCTGATAATGAGAAGAGGGTAACAGACGTTTGTTTCTATTGGTTCAATGTGTCTGTGGACAGTAGATGCCTCATGATCTCTCATCGTCCAATCAGGTGTTATCGGTGCGTAAAGGCGGTGTGTTTCCAGGCCGGCAGTTCAATGTGGATGAGGAGGATGAAGATGACGGAGATGACACCTCGGTCCTCGAGAGGAAAATTCATGCAGCAAACATGCCTGAAGCTGCACTCAAAGTGTGTCTGAAAGAGCTCAAGAGGTGAGCTGTCTTCTTTTTCATAAAACTTAATATCACTAAGGTTCATATACAATATTTCACACATACCATCCTCGACTGTAAACACAGATGGAAGACAAATCCCCAAAAGTGAAGCTGAGCTCAGCTTGATCACCCCCTGGTGGCTGGCTGCGGTACACGTCGCAAACTCCACCATGTCCACAGATAAGACATTGAACAAACTAAACGGTCAAAGGTCCTTTTTAAAAAAAAAAAAAAAAAATGGCTTCTGTCATTTTAAGGTAGTTCTTACAACACTGATGCAGGTTTTATTTTTCCATATGTTTGGTTTTCTATAAAAACGGACTGAAACTTGTGGCACCTGCTGTATCTGGGATATTTAAGTTTTCTACAACGAGATGAAGTGGAGACACTTCTTTATATACAGTCTATACCTACAATTTAAAGTAGGTTAAGTGGTGGTTTTGCACATAGCTTCACAGTAAAGATGTAAATGGAGGTTGTAAGTCCACATACAACAACTACATGGGTGGAAAGAAGTGGTAGCATGCTACCGTTCTTCCTCTATCCTTCTACTTCTGTCCTTTTTGTTGTTTGCTATCTTGGACTGATGCAAATGAGTGGAGGCTTTGACAGTGAGCGATCAGATCTCATGCTGGAGATGCACATTAATGCCAGATGTAAATGTAATCAGGTTAAAATGTAAGAAGAATTTGGATAAAAGACACATTTTCATACCAGATGTAAAAGCTGTCGAAGACGTATGCAGCTGCTTTCATGTTCTTCATGTAGATCAAGTATTATTGAGTTAAATTGAGAACCGCTTTTCTGAGAAGAAGTCAAACATCAGCAAGAAGCTTTTCGAACGTTATTTTGCACTTTTGATCTTTTCAGTCGCCACTGTCACGTGATTTAATGTTAAATAAGCAGGAAACGTTTTCGTGTGAAGGAGCCACAGGCACAGATGTAAATATTTATCTTTGTCATGTGTTTTTTCAGATTGAAGAAAATGCCTCAGTCCATGCCTGAGTCTGCCCTGACCAGAAACTACTTAGATCTGATGGTTGAGCTGCCATGGAGTAAAAACACAAAAGGTAAGTAAATCCACTGAGAAGTTCACTAGTGGAAGCCTCCAGGTCGGTAGGTCATACGTTTTTTTGTACTCTTGACCTATTTCGAACCACAGCTCCGTCTAAAAACAGGCTTTATTGCTTTGCTGCCGCCAAAAGATCCTTTTAAATTTTCAAAGGGGATTTGTCGTGTTTCAATGCGGAGGAATGTTTGACATGTGGTGACTGAGAGATTGTTGTGATAACTGTGTTAAATACTTCGGTCAGGATTTCACTGATGCAGTGATTGGCTCAAAATACTGCTGGAGCTTTTAAAACCATTTGAATATCCACTATTAATTAATACTGTCAGAACTCACAATCTAATTCATAATATTAACAAATAGTTAAAGCTGATCTAATCAACATTTTCATCTAGCTAATAATTTCAGAAATCTCTCTCTCTATGTATCGCACATCTGGAGAAGCGTAACCTTGAGAACACACTTGGCTTGTGTGTTTACAGCCCATGGAAGTGCAGTGTTTGAATAAACAGCTCGTTGTTCAGCAGCAGGTTTTTATTTGCTGCCGCTCAATTATATTCAGGATGTTTTTTACATTTCCAAAAAGGAACCTGTTCCCAGAATCAACACCAAACCAAGATTCGTGGCAGAGAACAGTAAAATTCTCGTGCTTCTGCTTTGTAGACAAATTGGTAAAGAGGACCTGTGAATATATCAGTCCAATATTGTGAAATAGAGTAAAATAACAATTTAAAAACTCCTGCCAGTGAGTCAGATCTTTCATCCGGGATCGCTCATGTCTAAATGTGGACCCAGAATCATTTCTATTTTAATTTCATGGTGATCAAATTACTCGGACAGAAAGTGTGGCGTTCCACACAAAAGCACAAAGTATATGTGGCGGCCAGCCACGGTTTCTCAGTCTGTGCATTCCACAGACTGAAGCTTTAATAACTAACATCGAATCTGTGGAGACTCCAGTTTATTCAGTTGCAGGGTCGGAGGTTATAAACAGATTATGAGCTGTGAATAAACCCAAAGTGCTTTTATAAGTTTGGGAGAAACATCTTTCACCTTTGAACAGACGGACCGGGGATAAATCTTTCATCTTCTTTCTTTATTAGCTGCAGCTGCTCGTTTCTGAAGCCCCACTCGGTAGTAAACTCTCCCTCTCCACTGTCCAGGCCTCCTTCGTAATTTGTCAAGTTACAGTAAAAGATTCCTCGTTTCTCTGTCGTCGCTAACTTTAATGTTTTCTCTTTTTGTTCCTCCTCAGACTGCCTGGACATCCGATCTGCTCGCACTCTGCTGGACAACGACCACTATGCCATGGAAAAGCTGAAGAGGCGTGTGCTGGAGTACCTGGCTGTTAGGCAACTCAAGTCTTCACTCAAGGTGCTGCGGCCAATTAAATAAATAAAGGAAAATGTTACGTGAAGCGATTTCTTTCATGCCTCTCATGTGTATCCGCTGTTTGTTCTTCAGGGCCCCATTCTGTGCTTTGTGGGGCCCCCAGGAGTCGGTAAGACCAGTGTGGGGCGCTCTATCGCCAGGACTCTGGGCAGAGAGTTTCACCGCATCGCTCTTGGAGGCGTCTGTGACCAGTCTGACATCCGAGGACACAGGTGAACTCATAGTGACTCTGCAGGAGGGTCTATAACAGACGATGTTATGATTCATTAGTAAAGTTTTCACGTGGATGAGACGTGTTTAACTTTGCAAAATGTGACATTTATTGAATTCGAGGGTGCGTCCTTGTTTTGATAGTGTATTGGAACGCAGGACTCTGAGTGGAACATGAACTCTTGTGGTAAAATATTTGGATAACATTTCAAACACGATCACACTCACACTGGCAGAAAATAAGAAAGACTAGAAAGCCACAAAGGGGAAATATTTGGGTGAAATCAGCTTGTGAGCATTTCGATTTTTCATGCATGAATTTCTATCTTGTTGGCAACTATGACTTTCCCCCCAGGGGATTCAAACCCGGGACCTTTGTGGGGGCACACTGTGGACTGTGGCGCTGGGGAGGTGTCGGGTATTTCTGACAGTTTTAAAGTAAAACATTTGAAGGTCCAGTGTGTGAGATTTAGGTGAAAGGGAACTTTTGGCACTTGTGGAGATGCTGTATTTAGGCCTCATTCACCAATATCTTCTGAAGAGTTTGTTCTTAAGAAGTTTTTCTAAGAAAAGGTGCTGGTTGTGAAAGTGACACACACAAAAACAAGCACACACTATCTGCGTGAGGTGCTGAAAGAAATATCATTAGAGTTGTGGCCTTTAATCAGACAGTCAAAAAACTGTGTGTGTGTGTGTGTGTGTGTGTGTGTGTGTGTGTGTGTGTGTGTGTGTGTGTGT